TAGGGGTGGCAGCGGAGAATGCGCGTCACGGACGACTTATTCGCCTCGTAAGTTGGCAACCCACGAGCCTCGATGGCTCGCGAAGCAGTTTCACGCACGTCTTTCGAGTCTGTGCTGCCCTTGCGATCGCTCGTCAGCCGAATTTAATCTACTGCCCGCATCCGTCAACCCAACGAACGGATGTGTGTGCATACACAAGCAGTTATTACGCCTCAGGTTATACAGCCTCCGGACGGATGGCAGACGGCTCGTGACTACCAGGTCACAGGCTACCCTGATTGACAAGAGGACGGCACCGTAACCGCACCATGACCTCCTTCAGGTGCCCAACGCTCTGAACTCCACAAAACTTCGCATGCTTTCGGAAGTGAGGCTGTGTCCCCCCTTTACCTGGACGTAGTGGCGCCAACTAGTAGCACCACTGTCTGCGTCTTAAGGTTAATCATTCCGCCTGACCGAAGCCACGAAAAGTGGACGGAGAAGAACAAGTGCCACTCAGCATCGTTTCATTAACGAACCTTTTTTAATTTTTTTCTCTCTTCCTGCTGTTTCTCCTCTCTTTTGTTCCTCTCCTTCTCCTCCTCCTCCTCCTCCTCCTCCTCCTCCCCATTCTTCTTGCTCCTGTTCTTTGTCCCCTGGTTCGCTTTTTTCTTTGCCCCATTTTGACTTTTTTTGCCCGTCCCTTCTACCTTCTTACTTGTAAGTGGTTGTGATATAACTTAGGCTGCATGAGAAGTCACAATTACTTTTGACACACGCCATCCCAATGGGCTGGATGACGCCAGTAAATGAACATATCAGAGTCCGACACTTAGTGCTGCCTACCAGGGCTTTTGATTTCTTGAGGAAGGCTTCGCATTTTTTCTTCCAAATTTAAGTAAGGAGATCAAATAATGTTCGTTCGAATTAATCAAGCCTGAGTTTTATTACCGATCCCTTGCCGGTTCTGCTGTTTCGAAATTAATATGGATGCTTGACAACGTGATCTACCTAAACGGCGAAGATCGAGGATTCGTGACTGGTAGGGACATCGACCCTGTACGGCGTATATGACCGGTCATGTTCAACCACCCTTGTGGCAAATGAGATCCTCTGTCCTCTGACAGCAAGTTTCAGGCGACCCATTGACGAAGTGCCACCATTTCGACAGCAACCAGCACGCTGCATTCAAACAGAAGCTGATGACGATCCAGATCTGACACCCGTACATGGGCAGTGTGTGTTTGAGGCCAGTCCGTTCAGGCGGTTGCCGCGGCCGATAAACCCACCCTGCGAATTTGCAATTGTACAGG